AAAAAAAAAAAAAAAAAGATACGTTATCTAAAGAAGAATCAGCTTTCTTTTTGTGCCTACATTGTGTCTTCCAGTAATGAGCAAGAATACTATTTTTAAAAGATGTCTTTCTGTTGTTTAATGTACTCTATAATTGCTTTCTATATCTACTTTGATTAATTCTTAGGTTTTGATGTGACTTGTTTAGTGGTTTAATTGTATACTGTGTATTTGTTTAATAATAATGAAATAAGTGAAATTTATTTCCTAAATATTCTATTTTTAGTCAGTTTACATTACACTAACTTATTCATTCGCATCTCTATAAACAAAGTTGTGAAATCTACAAAAACGTGTAGCTTGATATCTGGAAACAATGAGAAGAACATTGCAATTAAGTTTGATGAAGTGAAGTATTTTTCTGTACAGGTAATGTTACTATCTCGTCTAGATATCAGAATGTCTCCTTATTATTTCAAATATTCTACACTAATTATATATATATATAAATGGGTAGAAAAGAAATGAAATTTTTATTTGGTATTTTATAGTACTCTATTTCTATACTATAGGCTGTGGTGGTGTTTTTAAAAATAAACAGTTTACTGCAAAATACATAGTCTTGGTGGACCTCTTCCATGAGATGTTACTGTTTGAAGTTTTGAGTGTTTATTATGCACGTATATTTCACTATCTTGCTCTTCCCTTCCCATCTGCCATCTTCCACCCTATCTCTTTATTTTTAATCTCCTCTCCCTTTCCTTTTCTTCTCTCACATATGTATATATGTGTGTGTGTATACAGAGGGTGCCAAAAAATGTATACACATTTTAAGAAAGGAAAAAAACTGCATTAAAATTGTAATACTTGATAAATACCGATAGAAGATGAATACAAGTCACGTTTGATTTCTGCAATTACACATTGCTACTGTAATTCAATTATTCCGTATAGCCACATGATTCAATCATTTGTCCAATTGTTTCTAATAGTTTTATTACATTAGTTGACTTTTAGTAAAATCCTAAAGCCTTTCTTCTATGCTCCAGATTTATTTCAAACTTTATTTTGTTTAAGTGTTGAGTATTGAAGATAATTTTTGAAACATAGGTTTGTTTTTGTTTTTGTTTTTTTAAGCAACAAAAGCCAAGGCATAATTTTGTTGGGGGCAATCTATATTGTTTCTTTTACTTGAAAATAGTTTTCCTAAGCATCATCGGCAAGTTCTCAGGAATTTTAGGGATATATGTCCAGTTAAGTAAAACTTGAAACATTAATTCAAGAAAATAATGAATGGTAGCATAATAGGTACTTATCTCTTTAGCATAATCAATTTTTTTCTATGTTTATTTAAATAAGTACTATTATTTTGAACACATTAAGAGAAGAGTTTTAATGGAACTCTAATACAAAATTTGCGAATGACTTAGTAAAAATTACACTGAAAATTGTATAAGCAAACGAAGAAACATAAAAAAGCAAGGCACATGTTACATATAAGGAAATTAGAAATGATAGGGGAAAGGAAATATAATCATTGTACCTATACTGGTAAACTCTGAATGATAGTTATAAGTATAAAACAATGTAAGGCCAGGCTCAGTGGCTCAGCCTGTAATCCCAACGCTTTGGGATGCTGAGGTGAATGAATTGCCTGAGCCCACAGGTTCGAGACCCGCCTGGGCAACTTGGTGAGACCTCATCTCTACAATAAATCAAAAATTAGCCGAGCATGGTAGCACGCGCCTGTAGTTCCAGCTACTTGGATCCCAGCAGGTCAAGGCTGCAGTGGCTGGGAGCAGCCACGGCACTCCAGTGTGGGTGACAGAGTGAGATTCTAACTCAAAAACAAAACAAAACAAAACAATGTAAACACTAAGTATTGATCCAACAAAACATATGTAATATATTGAAGGAATAGAGATGATGCCGGGTGGCATGGGGTGTAGTAGTTCCTTGTATTCTTGACTCTGCCACAGAAAAAAATTTTAGAGCAAGTCCAATGTATAGTATAAGATAAGATTTATTAGAAAAAAAGACACTCAAGAGAAAGCATGGGAGCCTGAAAAGAAAGAATATGTGCTTGCCTTTGACAAGAAACTTTATATAATTTTACAATGATAATTAAACAAACCATGAGCTAAGAGCAGATGGCTGAAGGTATCTGGTCATGAGTTTTGATTACCATCTCTCAATCTTTTAAGGTCATAAAGATCTTCTAAGTATTGAAAGTTATTGCCTAACTGTATTTGGGCTTTTTAAACATCATTTCTGTGTTTTGACTAATTCCCTATTATTTCTGTGATTGACTATATTGGTAGTTCCACATTCCAACCTGCAAGGTGGTCAGTTCTGGTATGCCTGATCAGTTGGGTGAAGGTTGTATACTTCCTCTATCTGTGTCTAAGCTATTCTGACTATCCTGCCTCAGATGAGAGAGAAATGTGAAAATTGTAGGAGGAGAGTGTTGAGAGTGAATATTTTTCTTACTGTTGACAGTATTTAAAACTAAAAAAAAATCAATCAATAATATAAGCATGTTACTTAGAAACATGAAGGCAAAATCCAGAGGAGTTTATTAAAAAGGTTGGAAAGGTGACTTCTGAGGAGTGGAAATTAGGGGGTGGGTAAGGTAGAGTTTGAAAATTATACCTGGCATTTAATTTATAGAGGTATGACTGAGTGATGACATAGAAAGGCCACTGCCATTGGAAATGAATTTATTACTTACACTTCCTGAGAGAAGAGGACATGATATGCCACCAAGGGCCACAGTATCAGATGGTCAGGAGGCAGGAGACAGGAGTGAGGGAGAGTCTAGGCTGAAGCCTTTTTGGAGTTTTTGTGGGAAAGGCAGCAGTAAGGGCAGAGTAAACAGTAGGATTTAAATAATTCCAGGGATCTTTGGATCACAGGGGTGGTCTCTAGTTTTCTAATGGATAATTTAGGGCAAGAGAAATGGCCTGGTGTGTGAGAGTTAGATAGGGAGGTGACTAGAGCTATGCACTTTTGATTGGTTGGCTTGCGTATAAGAGATGTGCTCCCTGCTGAGCTTTTGCTGTCTTTAGGAATTGTCTAGCTCTGGCAGGGGAAGTCTTTTCCTCAGCAAACCTTTTAAAATGTCAAAACATGATAAAATACAAAGAAATTTTTTTCCTTTTAAAAAAAATGATTAATACAGGTGGGAGTAAAAAAAAAAAGTTTTCTTTGTTTTAACCTTTGACTGTTTGAATTTTTCACTCTATACTATATAATAAGGATAAAATACAATTATATTGTATATACTTTAGGAGTTTAATTTGCTAAAACATAGATCTAAGCTAAAAATTTAAAAATCCCTACAAACCAACAACTTAAAAGGAACAGTAAATGCTTTTAACTTAGTTAATTGCAGAAAGTTGTTGAGTGAATGATATTAAATTAAGATTGAAGAATGAGTAGTAGTGTATTTCTGGTTACTGTTCTACTCTAAACAGCTATGAAACTGAGAGAAATATATGCAGGAACTATTTTCCAGTATTGGACAAGGGAAGGTGGAGAGCTGCGATCTTACGAGAAGGAAGCACAAGAAGTGGACTCTGCATTTTCAGAAGCTTTCTATCTGACAGGACTCTGGCACAGGGAAGTGAAGTCCAAGCAGAGAGTAGCAGTCTTGCTGGGTGGAGGAAGCAGAGACTTAGCAAAGAAAACAGAGATGACAATATAGGATCCCTAAGTGGCCTGGAATTTGTAGAGGAGGGTACTAATGAAGAGGGAATGGCAGATAAGGAGCCCCAGAAATCTGTGTAGGTAGTCCACTTAGATTTGTGACTGAATCCTAATTTGTTCATTTACAGGGTAAGCCTCTAAGAGACACTACAGAAAACAGATACTAGAGGGCTGAGAGCTGAATAGAGATTTCAAAAGTCACAAATTTAGAGTCATTGGAGACTGACTCAGCTAAATCAGAGAGACCTGACTGAATATTCCCAGTATTCAGTTGAGATCTAGAAAGGCCAAGTTTTAGGAGTAAGGACCATGCTCTAAGGATAAGGGTTAAATCTTAGGACCAAGGACAAAACTGAAACTAAAATAGACCCATCCTCAAACTAAGATTCCATGGGATCAATATGATCTGCTAATAATTGCCTTCTAAAAAAGAAAAATGCTATTTATGGAGGAATAAAAACAGTAAACAGTGATACCCACAGATGACCCAGATGTTGAAATTAGCAGACAAGAATTTTAAAATAAATATAAATGTGTCAAAGTGGAAAAGGTGGACAAAATAGAAGTTAGGATGGGAATTTTGAAGAGAATGGGAACTCCAAAAATAACCAAGTAAAAATCCTAGACCTAAAAAATACAGTATTTGAAATGAAGAATTCATTTGAAGCATTTTAAAATATTCTGTAATGAGGCAAAAGGTTCCGTGAATCAAAAGACTGGTCAGTTGAAATCATCCAAATTAAAGCTCAGAGAGAAAAAAAGATTGCAAAGCATGAAAGAAACTGGTGGGACAGTATTACTCAACTTATAAATGTGTAATTGAGTCCCAGAAGGAGAGAAGAGGAAGTATTTAAAGAACTATTAGCCAAATTTTTCCAAATTGATGAAAGAAATCAATCCATAGATTCAAGAAACTCAGTGAACCTTAAACTGATAAATATAGAAATGATCACACCTAAACATCCCATTCTTTTGACTGAAAACCAAAGATAATGAGAAAATATTAAAGGCAGCCAGAGGGGAAAAACATATTACATTCAGGCGAACAACAACAAGAATATCAGCTGACTTTCCATCAAAAACATTGGAAGTCAGAAGACAAGGGACCATCTTTAAAGTGCTGGAGGTGGGGGAGGGGGCATAGGCCTAGATTTTTATATCTAGTGAAAATATTTTTCAAAAAGATGGTAAAGAGCAAAAACTGAAAGCATTTGTATCTGGAAGACTTTAGAATACTTGCATTATAATAAATGTCAAAGAAAGCTTCAAATTAGAGAGAAATGATTCCAGATAAAAGCCCAGATGCACAGGATGGAAGAGCACTGGAAATGTGGGTTAAAATACAAGACTATTTTCCAAAAGACAAAATAATATTTCAAACAGAATAACCTCAATGAATGGAAGGATTTGTAGCATATGTAGAAGTGAAATATATGGCAGAAATAGCATAAAGGATGAGGACTATAAATAGAATTATAATATTGTATGTTGTGGTTTAACTTTAATTGAAGATATATGTTAAAGTTACATAGTATAACCCCTAGAGCAATTACTAAAAATAAAACAAATATTTATAACAAAGGAAGAAGGGAGAAAAAGTGGGAGGGAGCCAGAGAGAAGGAAGGAAGAAGAGAGATGAGTGTGGAACCTAAATTAGCATTAAATTTGAGAACTTAGAAAGTGACAGTAAAACCTTAGGAAAGCAGGAAGATGAAATTAAGAGAAAAGAAACAAATGACTTATTTACAATATAGGTGTTAAAGAAATGCAAGAATACAAGAGGTAGTTATTACTAAAACTAACATAGTAAGCACGATTCTGATAAGCCTCATCAAGGAAATTATGCAAAATTTGGAATATAGGTATAAATATGGAGGTGGTTAAAAAGCTGTAAGAGAATGTTATATATAACTCTCTGCCAAAAATTTGAAAATATAGAGAAAATAGAATATTATATTAAAATACAAATTACACTGTGTTTTAGATCTATCATTTGTAAACTAAATGTAGTTGGGTTTTTAAAATCCAACCTGGACAGGGCTTGGTGGTTCAGCCTGTAATCCCAGCACTTTGGGAGACTGAGGTGTGTGGATTGCCTGAGCCCACAGTTTGAGACCAGTACAGACAACTTGGCAAGACCTCGTCTCTACAATAAATAAAAAATTTGCCGAGTGTGGTAGCACACACCTGTAGTTCTGGCTACTTGGAAGGCTGAGGTGGAAGGTTCACCAGAGCCCAGCAGGTCAACACTGGGGTGACCGTGAATGTACCACTGCACTCCAGTCTGGGCGACAGAGTGAGACTCCAACCCCCCGAAAAATAAAAACCAACCTGACAATTTTTGTGTCTGACTTGTAGTTAAAATCAAAAACACTGGAAATCAGTAATGTAGTAGTTAATGTATGTAATGTTAATGAACTTTAAATGTAACAACTGTTACATTTAATATAATTATAATATATTTGAGTTTTGTTCCACTTGAGCTATAAATTATTTTTTCTTCTTTTCTTCTTCTTTGACATTGAATACAGTTGACCCTTGAACAACACAGAGGTTGGACACTGACCCCCTCACATACACAATCAAAAATTGTACATAACTTTTGGCTCTCCCGAAACTTAACTTCTGATAGCCTTCTATTGACTGGAAGTTTCACTGATAACATAAACAGTTGATTGACACATATTTTGTGTGTTGTATATTACATACTGTACTCTTAAACTAGAGAAGAGAAAATGGTATTAAGAAAATCATAAGGAAGAGAAAATATATTTACTATAAGTGGGTGTGGATCATCATAAAGCTCTTCATCCTTGTTTTCACATTTAGTAGGCTGAGAGAGAAGAGGAAGAGGAGGCGTTGGTCTGGCTGTCTCAGAGCGGCAGAGGCCGAAGTAGTGGAGGAGATGGAAGAAGAGGCAGGAGGGGCAGGCACATTTGGTGTAACTTTTATTGAAAAGAATTATGTATAAGTGGAACCCAAACAGTTTCAACTATGTTGTTCAAAGGTCAACTGTATTTTAAAATTTGTTTATTTTTTATTTTTTTTAACTTTTAATTTTTTTTATTTTAAAGATGTGGGGTACAGTTCAGGGTTGGATATACAGATATTCATTATGCAGGTACCCTTGTTGATGAGGTATGTCTCCACCCTTCCCCAGGCAGATTCCCACTACTGCCAGTCCTGCTTCCCTGCCCTCTTCCCGGCAGTTTCCAATATCTGTGATTCAGTCATAAAAAAGGGCAAATAATGCCTTTTGCAGCAACTTGGTTGAAATTGTAGGCCATTATCTTAAGTAAAGTAATTCAGAAATGGAAAGCCAAATACCTCATGTTCTTACTTAAAAATAGGAGCTAAACTATGGGTCCACAAGGACACAGAAAATGGTGTATAATAGACATCAGGGACTTGGAAGGGAGAGGGTGGGAGCGATATGAGGCATGAAAAATTACCTATCAGGTACAATGTACAGTAGTTGGGTGACAGGTGCACTAAAAGTTCAGACTTCAGCTGGGCTCGGTGGCTCAGCCTGTAATCCCACGCCTTTGGGAGGCTGAGGTGAGTGGATTGCCTGAGCCCGGGGTTCAAGACCCGCCTGGGCAGCGAGACCTCATCTCTACAATAAATCAAAAAAAAAAATCATCCGGGAGTGGTAGCGCATGACTGTAATTCCGGCTACTTGGAAGGCTGAGGTGGAAGGATCACCGGAGCCCAGCAGGTCAAGGCTGCGGTGGCCGGGAGCGGCCGCTGCACTCCAGTCTGCCGACAGAGTGAGACTCCAACTCAAAAACAAAAAACAAACAAACAAGCAAACAAAAAACAACAAAAAAATAAGTTCAAACTTCACTTCTATACAGCTTATCATGTAACCAAAAACCACTTGTACCTCTAAAGCTATTGAAATAAAAAATAAAATCAATAAAATTTTTAAAAAGTTAGAGATAGAAAAGAATATTGGATATCCTTTAATATTGGATGTTTGGATAACCTGCATTTGGATTACCTGGATTATCCGAACTTCATATTGGGCAATGGATTACTTTTGATAATGTAGTTTCAGTAGAGTGTTGAGTTAAAAAGAGAATGTAGGCAAGGGTACTTCCAAAAGACTATAATTGATGTTAGATATAAACAAGATCTTTATTTTTGTTGATATTAGTGTATATGTGACTGTGAAACTGAAAAGTTATAAAGCTAATGACATACAACAACGAATTATTAGGTATGTAAGTAATATATTTTAGAGACATATTTATCCAGAAATTCAGACTGAAAATGTAGCGCTTCTTTTCACATATATTTTGCTATTGAGGTTCCCAGACGTCATGATGATGAGCGGAATAATGTTTTCTTGGAACTCATGCAATATGATGACACAGAAAAATATCCTCTCATTTTAGGGAGAGTTCAGATACATCTTTATAAAATAATTCAGGTATGTTTTAAAATCTTTTTTTTTTTTTTTGCCTTGTCCAATTGGTATTCCAGTTTGTTACTGTGATTTATTTTACCTGATGGACATTTTAAATTTATTATCTGTCTTCAATTCATGTACTTGGGAAACAAAATCACCCTCTGGCTATAATTTTTAAAAGAGTTGGTTTATAACATCATAATGTTTTAAAAATTATTTTCCACCTAAAAAAATGAAGCATGTTTTCTTGTTTCTTTATTTTACATATTTATATGTTTGTTAATTTATTTTAATTTGCAAATAAACTTATATCTATCTATCATGTACAGCATGATGTTGGAATTATGTGGTCATTGTGGAATGACTAAACTGCATAAAGCGTGCTTATATTGTGTTTCTGAAATGTCTTAAGATGTGAGTTAAACTACAAACTCTGTCTCTTAGGCTGGCGGCACAAATTTCAGTTTAGTTCTTTTATCTTTAGCTGGGCTACTTACAGTCCACCCTGTGCATGTGTCTTTTAGGAGACAGCCTAAGATTTTTTTTCTTTTTTTTTTTTTGAGTTGGAGTCTCACTCTGTCACCCAGACTGGAGTGCAGTGGCCGCTCCCGGCCACCGCAGCCTCGACCTGCTGGGCTCCGACGATCCTTCCGCCTCAGCCTTCCAAGTAGCCAGAATTACAGGCATGCGCTACCACGCCCGGCTGATTTTTTGATTTATTGTAGAGATGAAGTCTCGCTGCCCAGGTGGGTCTCGAACCCGCGGGCTCAGGCAATCCACTCACCTCAGCCTCCCAAAGGCGCGGGATTACAGGCTGAGCCACCAAGCCCGGCTCAGCCTAAGATTTAGGCAGAGTTTATATACTACTTTTGTGGTTGCTTCCCTTTTGCTTTCTCCTTTCTAGGCGTTCTTCTCACTTTCCAGCATCTGATTTTGTAGTTGCTCTGAACTCAGAGTAAAGAGCTTATTGATTATTGAACAAGTATAAATAATCTGAAGGATTTTCAGGAATATTTGTGATGCCATCAAGTAAAGGAAGCCTTCGAGATTAATGGGGTTATATCAGAAGATACAAGAGCCAGGTTGCAGGGACTCCTGTTGACCAATTTCAGGATAATTTGAATATAAAAAAGATAATTACAACATTCTGAACAAAGAAAAATTTATGAGTCCTTGGAGATCTTCAAAAAAGAAACAAAGAGACGGGATGGGAGGAAAAAGGAAATTTTAAAAAGCAAAATAATGCCAGCTAATGAATATAGAAAGAATCATAGATTTTTTGTTTTTGCAACTCTTTACAGTTAATTATACAATTTATTTATTTATAATTAATTCAGTCAAGATTTAGCAATGCACTAAGGCCATTAGATAAAAGGTTATTGAGAACCAAGATATATGCATGGTGCTACAGTAACAGCCCACAGATTATTGCAAAGAGGAAAATGTTCCCCTTCAATAGAGAGATGTGGTAGTTGCCACTTTACCCTAGAGCTCAAATTTATCATAACTAATTGTGCATGATTTAACATTATGTATTTCCTGTAGTGATACAAATATAAAGTTTAACCTGGCCAGTTGTGGTGGACTCACACCTGTAATCCCAGTGCTTTGGGAGGCTGAGGTGGGAGAATTGCTTGAAACCAGGAGTTAGAGGCCAGCCTGGGCAACATAGCAAGACCCCAACTCTTAAATAAAAAAAAAAAAGCCAGGCATAGTGGTGCACACTTAATATCATTAGCTTCTGGTGTCCTGTCTGCATGCAAAAAGTTTCAGGATTTGGGGTATACAAAGGTTCCTTTTTCTCTATATCCTCCTCAATACTTGTCATCATTCTTTTTTATAATAGCCATTGTGACAGGCATGAAGTGATATCTCAATGTGGTTTAAATGTGCATTTCTCTGATGATTAGAGATGTTGAGGATTTTTTTATGTATCTGTGGGTTATCCCTTCATTCTGTTACTTGTTTCCTTTGTGTGAAGAAGTTTTAAAATTTGATCCTATTTGTCTATTTTTGCTTTTGTTGCCTATGCTTTTGGAGTCCTCTAAGAAACAATTGCCCACACCAATGTCGTGAAGTTTGTCCCCTGTGTTTTTGTCTAGTAGCTTTACAGTTTTAGGCATTACATTTAAATTCTTTTTCCATTTTGAGTTCAGTTTTACATGTGGTGTGAGAAAAGCATTCAGTTCTGCATGTGGATATCCATTTCCCCCCCAAACCATTTATTAAAGAGATTGTGTGGACTTGGCACCTTTGTTGAAAATCAATTGACCATAAATACTTGGGTTCTTTGTGAGCTTCATATCCTGTTCATTGTTCAATATGTTTGTTTTTTATGCTAGTACCATGCTGTTTTGATTACAATAGCTTTATGTCACATTTTAAAATCAGGAGTTATGATGCTTCTAGCTATGTTCTTTTTGTTCAAGATTGCTTTGGCTTTTCAGGATCTTTTCTAGTTCTGTATGAATTTTAGGATTATTTTTTCTAATTCTGTGAATGATGATGTTGAAGTTTTGATAGGAATTACACTGAATCTGTAGATTGCTTTGGGTAATATAGACATTTTAGCAGTATTAAATTTTCCAGCCAGGCTTGGTGGCTCAGCCTGTAATCCCACGCCTTTGGGAGGCTGAGGTGAGTGAATTGCCTGAGCCCGCGGGTTCGAGACCCTCCTGGGCAACTTGGCAAGACCTCATCTCTACAATAAATCAAAAACTAGCTGGGCGTGGTAGCACGCGCCTGTAGTTCCAGCTACTTGGAAGGCTGAGGCGGAAGCATCGCCGGAGTCCAGCAGGTCGAGGCTGTGGTGGTCGGGAGCGGCCACTGCACTCCAGTCTGGGCAACAGAGTGAGACTCCAACTCAAAAAAAAAAATAAAAAAAAATTTTCCAATTTGTGAACATTTTATTTTTGTCGCCTTCAATTTCTTTCATCACTGTTTTGTAGTTCTTAGTGGACATATTTTTCAACTCTTGGGTTAAATTTACTCCTAAATATTTTAGTTTTTGATGCTATTGTAAATAGGGTGTGGTTTTCTTACATTCTTTTTTGGATAGTTTGTTGTTAGTTTATAGAAATGCTTCTGTTTTTTGTATATTGATTTTGTAACCTACAACTTTACTGAATTTGTTCATTAGTTCTAGTAGTTTTTTGGTGGCGTCTTTTGGGTTTTTATATATAAGATCATGTCATCAACAGAGACAATTCCACTTCTTCCTTTTCAGTATTGATACATTTTCTTTGTATTACTTGCTCTGGCCAGAACTTCCAATACAGTTGAACAGAAGTGGCAAGAGTGGGCATGTTTGTCTTATTCCTCATCTTAGAGGAAATGCTTTCAACATTTTACTGTTCATCATGAAGTTAGCTGTGGACTTATCATATATGGCCTGTATTGTGTTGAGGTACATTCCTTCTATACTTAATATTTTAGAATACTGATCATAAATGGATCAGTTGAATTTTGTCAAGAGCTTTTTAAGCATCTATTAAGATGATCATGTGGAATTGTATTTTATTCTATTAACATGGTTTATCACATTTATTGATTTACATATGTTGAATTATGCTTGCATCCCTGGGATAAATCTCACTTGATCATGATGGATGATCTTTTTAGTGTTTTGTTGAATTGTTTGCTAGCATTTGGTGAGAATTTTTGCATCTGTGTTCATCAAGGATATTGGCTTGTAGTTTTTGTTTATTTGTTTGTTTGTTTTTCCTTGTAAGGTCCTTGTCTGGCTTTGGTGTAAGGGTAATGCTGGCCTCATAAAATGAGTTTGGAAGTATTTCCTCCTCTTCAACCTTTTGAAGAAGTTTGAGGATTAGTATTAGTTTTTCTTGAAATGTTTGGTAGATTTCAGTAGTGTAGCCATTAGGTCCTGGACTTTTCATTGATGGGAGGCTTTTTATTACTAATTCAATCTCCTTGCCCATTATTGGCCTGCTCAGATTTTTTATGTCTTCCTGATTCAGTCTTGGTAGAGTGTATGTGTTTAGGAATTTGTCCATTTTTTTTAGGTTATCCGATTTGTTGGTGTTTAGTTGTTCATAGTAGTATTTTGATTTTAAAATTTTTTCTGTGGTATCACTTGAAATGTCTTCTGTTTCATTTCTGATTTTGTCTGAGTTTTCTCTTTTTTTGTTAGTCTAGATAAAGATTTCTCAATTTTATTTTTTCAAAAAACCAACTTTTCGTTTTATTGATCCTTCCTCTTATTTTTCTAGTCTTTGTTTACGTCTGTTCTAATCTTTGTTATTTTCTTCTTTCTGCTAAGTTTGGGCTTATTTCATTTTATTTTTTCCTAATTCCTTGAGGTGTGATTTTAGGTAGTTTGAGATCTTTTTCTATATTTTTCCTGTTTTGATGTAGACATTTACTGTTATAAACTTCCCTCTTGGGACTGTTTTGTTATATCACATAAGTGTTGGTATGTTGTGTTTTCATTTTCATTTGTCTCAATATATTTTTAGATTTTCATTTAAATTTTTTCTTTGACCTATTGGTTTACTCAAGAGCACATTTTGCAATTTATACATACTTGTGAGTTTTTCAATATTTTTTTCTGTTACTAATTTTTAGTTTCATGCCATTGTGGTTAAAAAGATACTTGATAGGATTTCAATCTTCTTAACATTTGTTAAGACTTGTCTATCATGGAGAATGTTCTGTGTGCCTTTTAGAAAAATATGTGTTCTGTTGCTGTTGGATGGAATGTTCTGTGAGTATTTGTTAGGCCTTCTTGTTCTAAAATGTAGTGGAAGTCCACATTTCCTTGTTGACTTTTCATCTGGGTCATCTACCTAGAAGCAGGGTATTGCAGTGTCCTCTTGTTTTTGTATTACAGTCTATCTCCCCCTTCACATCTATCCATATTGATAAATTGACATATTTGACATTCTGTAATGATCTTCTTTATCATTTTTACTGTTTTTAACTTAAAATCTGTTTTTGTCTGGTGTAAGTATAGCTGTCCCCACTCTATTTGATTTCCATTTACATGGAATATCTTTTTCTATTCTTTCATTTCAGTGTGTGTGTGAAATGAGTCTCTTGTAGGCAGCATACAGTAAGTCTTGTTCTTTTCCATTTAGCCACTCTGTGTCTTTTGATTGTTTAATTCATTTACAGTCAAAGTAACTGTTAATAGGTAAGGTTTTATTATTGCCATTTTATTATTTTCTGCTTAATTTGTAGATCTTTTGTTCTTCTCTTCCTCTCCCTGTCTTCCTTTGTGGTTTGATGATTTTCTGTGGTGTTATGCCTGCATTTTTTTTCTTTTGTATACCTACTAAGAATTTCTGTTTTGTGGTTATAATGAGGCTTACATAAAACATCTTATGCCCATAATAGGCTATTTTAAGCTGATAACTAAAATTTGGTCAATTGTACAAATGTTACATTTTTATTCTCCTCTTACAATTTTTTGGATGATGCATTTTGTATCTTTTACAGATTATGTCCCTTAAATAGTCATTGTAGCTATAGATGTTTTGAATAGTTTTATCTTTTAACCTTCATATTAGAGATATAACTGATTTTGCACCACCATTGTGGCATAAGAATGTTCTGAGTTTGACTATACGCTTCTAACCAGTGGGTTTTGGATTGTCAAGTATTTTCATGTTGCTAGTTAATGAACTATATGTCTGAAAGGCAATAGAATTTCTAGATAGCATACAGCTTAAAAGAGTAACACTTTTTATACCTGCATGAAATAATAGGATCTGGAAGTCATAGAAGGTTGTATGGAGGATGCTACTCCACTTCCTGGTCTTGAGGTATATAGACTTTTAAAGAAGGAGCACTTTCACTTGAGGGATTTATAAGGGAAGCAGCATATCCTCAGTGGTAAGCCAGGTCTCAGGTAAATCAGAGAGGTGGAAGGAATGTTAAGTAAAGCAGTGAGAGAAGTAAAGTTGTTTGTTAACTGTGGACTTGGGATTAGTGGAAAATACTAGGAAGAAAGGGAGCCAAGGAATGTTAGATTTGTCACCTGACTCTTAAGACAGCAGAGGTGACTGCAGATGCTGAGCAACGATATCAAAAGTTTACCTGATTTAAAAGATCCCAGCACCTCCTGAGAGATGAGGGAGGTACTCAGTTCTGTGAGGAGTCAGCTTATTATGTAACCTTATGTCTAAGTAGTCCCTCAAAAATAACATGGGCGTGGCAGTTCCTCCACGACTTTCACAAAGGGGAACTGTAACCGAGGGAACATTTTTGCCTAAAACATAAATATAAACATTAATGTTTATTTCTGTTACTGGTACCTGGAATTTTAATTTTATTCTTCTGAACATTCCTTATGTTTGTATTTTAATTATTAGATTCATATGTGCATTTGAGAAATCATTACCTGATCTTTTTACTGTTATATGGTATAGATAACATACAGGTAAATACATGAGTGATTTCATATTGAAGAATTTATTATTTATTACTTTTTTTTTCTAGAAAGGGTGCTTTACCGAAGAATTTCAAATATGGAATAAAAACACGGTAAGAACTTTACCTAAACTTCCTAAGTTTTACACACATATAATTTTTTCTTTACATTTCATGGAAGTTTAACCTGATATTGTTTGTGGCCTACATCTCTTTATTCAGCCACTGTTTATTTGCTCACAGAATTCTTTACCCTCCCTTAAAAAAAAAAAAGCTGTTATCTTACGGCTGAATGGCGATAAGAAAATTACAAATCATCAGGGGAGAGTGTGAAATGGCCCTGGCTGCCTGGATTGCATGGCCCGGGAAGCCTCCCTTGCTAAACTGAGGAAGTATTATTTTCCCCTTGGGGAGTTTCAAAAGAGTTGTTTACACTTCTTACTCTAATCTCTTTTTAAGTACTTAAAGTTATTAGCTTGACTAATTGATCTTCTTTCTATTCAGAGAGACTTCTGCAGCCAATGGCCAAAACAGAGGCAAGAAACAAAAAAATAGAATGAGAGTCATTTGAGGTCATCACCTCTCACACCTCCTTTGTTCCTCTGGGGTTCAAAGAGGTGAAATCACTTGTCTATATTAAAATTATATCTGAAAATGGGAGTGGAGGTGAGAGGAGTGTGAGTAAATAATTTAAAATATATATACACATATATGAATATATATGTATATACACGTCAGCATCTTAGTGTAATCCTATTAACAATTATAAGTTGATGTTTTCCGTATTTTAATATTAGTTAACTTTAACACAAAAGGTTTTAAAATTTCAGGAACTCAATAGATTCTTCTATAGGAGTTCCTTCTGTAAATGCTTTTATTTAAAACCAGGATATTTATACTTTGACTTTTCTAACTTACAGTTGTAAAGTACAGCTTTGTAAAGTAAAAATGTCACTTGTCGATTCTCCATTAAAATATGATTCTGGTCAAACAATAAAATAAATTTGTCACATGTTTAGTTTATCTGCAGGCTGGTGGTGGAATTTATGTTCTCTTATGGAAACTTTGGTTATGGATTTTCACATCAGGTTAGTTCTCTTTTAAAAAATTATTCTATTCTTCAATCAAATCGTCATCTTCTGAGCCTCTATATTTTTTAGCTTGATAAATTATTTTTAAAATGCCACTTTACTTTCTGACCTTGAGATATGTGAGCTTTTCTTCAACCTAAAGAAAAATGAGACTTTACCGTTATTTGTTTATATGTTTTAAAATAATGATCTTTTATTCAAAATGTCATTATAAAAACACTTGCTTTTATTTGCATGTATAAGCACATGTTGATGTAATTTCAAACAAAATTATTTTAAGTATTCAAAAAGTGATTGTGCATTTTTGCATCTAAAAGTATTTATTAAAATGGAGTCACTGACTGGGCTCAGTGGCTCAACCTGTAATCCCAGCACTTTGGGAGGCCGAGGTGAGTGGATTGCCTGAGCCCACAGGTTCGAGTCCAGCCCGGGCAACTTGATGAGACCTGTCTCTACAACAAATAAAAAAGTAGCAGGGCGTGGTAGCATGCCTGTAGTTCCAGCTACTTGGAAGGCTGAGGCGGAAGGAACTCCGGAGTCCAGCAGGTCGATGCTGGGGTGGCCGTGAGTGTACCACTGCACTCCAGCCTGGGCAACAAAGTGAGACTCCAACTCAAAAAAAAAAAAAAATGGAGTCACTGCCTGGCACAGTGGCTTGCACCTGTAATTCCAGCTTCTCTGGAGGCTGCATGGGGTGAGAGCTGAGTGGAGAAGATGGCTTGAGCCCGAAGTTGGAGGCTGCAGTGAGCTATGATTGAACAACTGTACTCTAGACTGGGCGACAGGGCAAACCCCGTCTCTAAAAAAAAAAGTGGAGTTATTGATGTTATTCAGACAACATTTTGTATTCATATGCTCCTTTCTTCTATGGTTATTTTGGTATCTGGTATTATTTGAACTCTCCTTGATTCATCAACAGAGTAAAATACCCAGAGAAGATATCCTTCACACTACCCTATATCCATGTTGCTATGAACATTTGTGTGCACCAACCTGTGTCCTTTATGTCCTTAGACTAATTTCTTAGAAAGGAAATTATTGTCCAAAACGATGACCTTTTTTGAGGAATTATTCTAGAAAAGTGGTACACATACTCTTGCCAAGTGTTTGAAAGAAATTTTTCTATCCTTGGGTGCTAGCTCAGTTTCGGAACATTCAAAAATCCAGTCTCATCAGTGCTGCTGTTATACAGGGGAAATGACCTTTATACTTTGCATGTATTCTTTCATTTTCAATTGTTGCTTTTTTTAAAACAGTCTTGGTTGTTTTTAAATCAGGAATTAGGAATGAGAACATAAGTCTTTATAAATAAGTCTACTGCTATGTTAACTGAAAAATCTCTGTAATATGTTTATAAATTTTGCCTTTACCATATTATAATGATTTTTTTTTTTGAGTCAGTCTCACTCCATCACCCAGGCTGGAGTGACACACTGCTTATGGCCACCACAGCTTTGATCTTCTGGAATCAGGTGATCCTTCTGCTTCAGCCTTCCAGGTAGCTGGAACCACAAGTATGCACCACCACACCTGGCTAATTTTTTTTTGATTTGTTGTAGAGGCGAGGTCTCATCATGTTGCACAGGCTGGTCCTGAACCCCTGAGCTCAGGCAGTTCTCTCACCTCCACCTCCCAAAGTGCTGGGATTACAGGCCTGAGCCACTGCATCCAGCTATTATAATGATTTTAATACATTTTGAATCAGAAGTAATATATAGTAATGTCCACAAGGGACAAGCTTTTATTTTTTTTCTTCTCTGTTTTGATTTTTTTTTTCTTTTTTCTCTGCCTGTTTTTTTTTTATTTCTTGTCATGAGTTGGGTCTTTGGGGACCTTTAATAGTTACTCCTTTTTGTAACAGTCATAGCTTATGGGCACCAACTTCAGAGCAGGTCTTGTGTCCTAACATAAATATAATATGTAATAGGAGATACATCCTTTTCAGATGAAACTGGGCAAGTATTGTTTTATGTAAGGTAGAATCTACTGAAAACAAGGAACAAAGGCATTTTATGGAAAATAACGGTATATGTAATAAAAGCAGGTGTCCCCAACCCTTGGGCTGCAGACCAGTACTGGTCCGTGGACTGTTAGGAACCGGGCACACAGCAGGAGGTGAGTGCCAGGTGAGCAGCAAGTGAGCAGAGCCCTGCTTCCTGTCAGATCAGCGGTGGCATTAGATTCTCATAGGAGCAAAAACCCTCTTGTGAACTGCACATGTAAGGAATCTAGGTTGCGTGCTCTTTATCTAATGCCCGATGACCCCTCATGCCCCCATCTGTGGAAAAATTGTCTTCTACAAAACCGGTCCCTGATGCCAAAAGGTTGGGGACCAGTGATAAAAGTTTAAAACAAAACTTGATTTTATGTCCATGAACTTTTCAGTGGTATCACCCCCTCCCTACCTATCATGTGACTGTAAAGAGCACTGCGTTGGGGGCAGATAAAGCTACATTCACATCTTGACTCCTGTCTATTGTGTAACTTTGAACAAATTACTGATCTTCAGTATCATCTGTAAATAGGCACAGTTATCCACCACATAGGTTTATTGAGAGAATTAAGATTAAAGGTATAATAAAATGCTTGGCAAATATTTAGTATACAATAAGTGTTAGTTTTTTTCTTTCCCCTCCTCATTTATTTTTTCCTTATTTGTGTTACTTAAGACCTATTTCATGGTCCTGGGGAATTCGTAGTATTAGGGTGAATTGTATTTGTAACTAAACAGTGTTAAAATATACTTACTTTTTTTTTCAGTTGAAACCTCTTCAGAAAATTGTTGAGCCATCCATGTTTATGAATATTGCACCACCTCCAGAAAGAACAGATCCCATGACGTAAGTGTTTTAAGTCTCATTAAGATGGCCACATGTGGAATTTAAAAAATTTTTTGTCTGTTTGGTGGAGCATTTTGGTTATTTTAAGGAGTCCCCAGGACATGGCCAGTATGGGCTAGACTCCATGGTGAAAAGGGAAGTGAATTGTTTTGCTTAATGAGTGGGAGAAGTTTTGAATTTCTGGGTATGGTCTTGGAAAAAGGTCAGGAGATAAGAGAAAATAGAGGAGGAGTGCCAAGTTCATGACTGAAGAAAGGGAGGGAGAGACAGCCTAAAGGTCGTTTTGAGAAAAGAGGTGAGAGATTTCTAAGATCAGAGTGTCTGACGGTCGTTAATTCTCTCTCTGCCCTGCAGTGTGGTAATGTTCCCCTACAGCCACACCACTCCAGCTGTTTCTTCCAAATCATCAGTGAAAAATCTGGTCATCATTCTTGAAATTTCAACAATAAAAATAGATGAAAGAAAAATGAGCACCTGAGAAAGATGTTTAATCTATTGTATTATCCAAGAATAGGAAATGGAAAAAAGCTGGAATGGGATTGAATTGGGGTGCAAGATGGGAATTGTGCTCTGAAGGGCCAGTTTTCCAATAGTCTCAACAATGCTGGATATTATCATTAAAATACACTTTACCCATCTGATATTGGTGATTTGTTGTAAAGTTTAATTTTTTTCTTATGTTTATTTACTTTTTTCCTTTTCCATCCATTTATTAAATAAACATTTATTGAACATCTGCTGTATCCCCAAAGCATTGCAGATACAAAGACATGTGAGGCCTAGCCCCTACCCTTGAGTAGCTCATGTTTTAATGAAAAGGTAACATGTAAAAAATAACATTCATAATGATAAACAAATGGGATAAGAACCCTCCTAGAGCCAAAATTAAAAAACTGTAGGACAGCCAAGGAGCTTCCAATTTTTCTTGGAAGAGTTGGGAAGGAAAGTATTATCAATCAAAAGTCCACGAAAAAAGTGTTTGAAGTAAGACTTGAAAAAATGGCTGTAGTACATCTGGCTGGTTTTGGCAGGGTAAGGGGATGCATTTCCCAGAGAAGGTACATGTAAATGCAGGGGACTACAAGAGGCTATGTTGTGTTGGAAAGCAGGGAGTTGTCAGTTGTGGGTGACTAAGAGCACAAGAGCCAGGAGGAGAGCAGTGGGGAAGGAACTGGAGGAGCAGGAGGGGCAGCATATGGTGATGGAGATCCCAGGCTCTCGAGCCAGATAGCATGTGCTCTCAGCCTGGCTCTGCCATGTGCTAGCTATGTGACTGTGGGCAAGGTGCTTAGTTGCTTTGTGCTTTGTCTATTAAGTGGGATAAAAATAAAAACTACCCAATTGAGTTACTATGATGATTAAATAAGTTACATGTAAAGTACATACATCGTGGGAGCAAACAGCAAAATGCTTAATTCATTGTTAGCTACCTATGAAAGTAACACATAGTTTATCATTGCCATTATCATCATGGTAGGTTTATACTTTTCCGAGGTGAGTAAGTTGTACTCTTTTGGGTCCTCAGGAATATACTACACTTCAAAAGATCTATTTGAGTTTTCTAGTTAATACAGATAGAAATCTAGAGAACATGTGTAGGAATTTATATTAAGGGCATGGGACAATGGTGGTAGAAAAATAAAGTTGGATCAGGCTGAGTTTATTGATTCAGGCTCACTAAGCAGAGATTCTGCATTTGATGTTGTAGCTTGGGGAGTTAGAGAGGGTTCTAACAGCTTGTTTAGTGAGATGCCTGAAACATGAACCAAAAGGTGCCCTCCACATGAGCTAGTTAGAAATGCCAGATTAATGCAGAGGGGATCCAGAGGCTTATGGGAGTTATAATGTTAGAGTGAATATGCCATTTAATATCTACTCACCCATTTTAAATGACTGAGAAATGATTTTGGGAAAGATGCCCTGGCATCCATGAAGAACCCTGTGATTGCTCATTTCTATGGGCCAAGCTTTAGAGCAGGAACTACAGCCTGAATTGAGAAACTTGGATGCAGTGGGAGTAATTGGATCCCAGGGTGGCAGGAGCCAAGTGAAGACACTCAACTGCCAAAAGCAAGGTGGTGTGGTAACCACAATGGACGACAGGGTCAAAGCAGCAGTCAGAATAGTCCTACTAGTGCAGGCTTGTGGTGTTGACTAGTTGATGATGGTGTTCCTAGAAGTGAAAACATAGGAAGCCTACTCAACTCTAACTTGATCTGTAGAAACAGAAAAGTTCTAGATCAAGGGGACAAAAGTCTAACCTGAATCATATAAACAGAGAATCAGCTCCTCAGTCAGTTCCCAGACTTGAGCCACGTACAGACACAGAACTCCTTGAATAAAAGGGTGGTCTGGTCCCCTCAAGGAAGGACCCTCGTACACTTTTAAACATTTATACTGTTAGTCTTTCTCCCAGCCTTGCCCAAAGACACCCACAGCCTTTTATCACAGTAACTGCACTGGAGAAAAGGGAATGATCAGGGCTTTTAGGGACTCCTAAACCCTGGTTCTGAACTGATACTATTTCCAGAAGACCCTGAATGTCACTGTGGTTCATCAAGCAGAGTAGGGACTTATGGTGCTCAAGTGATCAAATGAGTTTTGGTTCAGGTCCATAATCATAGTTGGCCCCACGGGTTCCTGAACTCATCCTGTGGTTATTTCCCCATTTCTAGATGCATAATTGGGATAGACATACTCAGCAGCTGGCAGAATCCCCACATTTGTTCCCTGATCTGTGGAATTAAGAATATTATGGTGGGAAAGGCCAAGAGGAAGCCACTAAAACTCCCTTCATCTAGGAAAATCATAAGCCAAAAGCAATACTGCATGGAGGGGGTGCAGAGATAAGTGCCACCATTAAGGACTTGAAAAGAGCAAGGGTCACATGTCCCACCACATCACCATTTAACTCCTCTGCTTGACCTGTGAAGAAGAAAGGTAGATCTTTGAGAATGACAGTGGATTGTCGTGAGTTTGGCCAGGTGATAACTTAAAAATTGAAGCTGCTGTACCTGGTGTGGTTTCACGGCTTGAATAAATTAACACATCCCCTAGTATCTGGTATGTAGCTATAGATTGGGCAAATTCCTTTTCCCATACCTGTTAATAAAGACCATCAAAATCAGCTTGCTTTCAGCTGGCAAGGCAAGCAGTACACCTTCACTGACCTAATTTATAAGAGTATCAACTCTCCAGCCCTGTGTCATAATTTAGTTACCAGGATCCCGATTGCCTTTTCCTTCCACAAGATGTCACACTGCTCCATGACATTGGTGACATTGTGCTGATTGGACTGTGAGCAAGGAGTAGCAACTACTCTCAACTTATCGGTAAGGCATGTTTTGTGTCAGGGAGTAGGAAATAAATCTGACAAAAATTCAGGGGCCTTCCACCTCAGTGAACTTTCTAGGGGTGTGTGGTGGTGTTGGATATCCCTTCTATGGGGGAGAATTGTTGCATCTAGAGACACAACACCTGGGGAAGTAACTTCAGATGGGCCTCTTTGGATTTTGGAGGTAGCCTGTTCCTCATTTGGGTGTGTTATTCTGGCCCATTTACTGAGTGACTCAAAGGCTGCACATTTTGAGTGGGGCCCAGAACAAGAGAGGATTCTACAGCAAGTCCAGGCAGCCATGTGAGCTGTTCTGCCACTTGGGCCATGTGTTCCAACAGATCTCATGGTGCCTGAAGCATCAGTGCAGATGGAAATACTGTTTGGCACCGTTGGCAGTCCACTATAGGTGAGCTACAGTGCAGGCCCTTAGGATTTTGGAGTAGAGCCCTGATAACCGCCACGGATAACTCCTCAGCTTTTGAGAAATAGCTTCGGCCTGCTACTGGGCTTAGTAGAACTGAATATTTAACCATAGGCCACCAAGTTACCATGAGACCTTAGCTGCCCATTATGAACTGGGTGTTATCTGACCCACCAACCCATAAAATTGGGCATGCACAGAGTAATGCGTGCAGGAAAGGCAAATCTCACAAACTACTTCAGCCAAAACTGCCATCGGTGGACTTACAATCCATTATTCATTATCATGATGTTCCACATAGTGTTGCTTCTGACCAAGGAACTCACCTCATAGCCAGAGAAGTGCAGCAGTAGGGCCATGATCATGAAATTCATTGGTTTTACCATGTTCCCCACCATCCTGAAGCAGCTGGGCAGAACAGTAGAACAGCCTCTTGAAGACTCAGTTTTAGTACCAGCTATGTTGCACTTGCAGGGCTGGAGCAAGGTTTTCCAAAAGGTTGAATATGCTCTGAATCAGTGACTAATATATGATGCGTTTTCTCTTATAAGCAGGATTCAGGGATTTATAAGTCAAGGGGTGGAACTGGAAGTTACAGCATTCACTGTTGACCCTAGTGATCCACTAGCAACATTTTTGCTCCCTGTCCCTGCAACCTAATCTTCTACTAGGCTAGAGTTCTTAGTTCCAAATGGAAGAATACCTCTTCCAAGAGACACAACGATTCCACTGAACTGGAAGTTGTGACTGTCACCTTGTCACTTGGAGCTCCTCATGCCTCTGAATAAACAGGCCAAGAAAGGAATTACTGCACTAGTTGGGTAGTTGATCCCGACCACCAAGGGGAAATTGAACCATTACTCCACAGTGGAAGTGAGGAAGAATCTGTCTGGAATATAGGAGATTCTTTAAGGCATCTCTTAAAGGATCCTTAGCCGTGCTCTGTGACTAAAGTTTCAATAGAAAATGACAACAACCCAATCCAGGCAAGTTTATTCTTGGCCCAGATCCTTAAGGAATGAAGGTTTTCAACTCATCTTTGACAAAGCCTCCAACAACAACCATTGGGAGAGAGGAGAACCTATTAAGTAAATGGTGCTGGGAAAACTGGCTGATCACATGAGGAAATTTGAAACAGGACCCCTACCTATTACCATACACAAAAATTAACTCTAAATGGATCAAAGACTTAAACAAAAGACCTCAAGTTATAAGAATTTTAGAAAATGCAGGAGACACCTTTATGGAAATTGAAATTGGTAACCAATTCCTGATTACAACCCTAAGTATTCATACCATAAGAAATAAGATAGATAAGTGGGACTTCATGAAACTGACGAGCTTCTGTGAAGCCAGAGAAACCATCAAGAAAGCAGGGAGACAGCCCACAGAAGGGGAAAAAATATTTGCCAACTTTATATCTGACAAAGACCTAATATCTAGGATCTATAAAGAATTCAAATGCACCGAAAAGAAAAAAACAAACAGCCCATTAAAAAGTGGGCAAAAAACATGAATAGACACTTCTCAAAAGAAGATATACGGCCAGCCAACAGACACATGAAAAAGTGCTCAGCCTCACTCATCATCAGAGAAATGCAAATCAAAACCACATTGAGATACCACCTAACCCCATTAATAATGGCCATCATTAATAAAACAAACAACAACAGATGCTGGTGAGGATGCAGAAAAAAAGGAACGCTTCTACACTGCCGGTGGGAATGCAAACTAGCACAACCTCTTTGGAAGACAATGTGGCAATTTCTGAAAGAACTAGAAATTGACCTTCCATTTGACCCATAAATTCCCTATTGGGAATATACTCAGAGGAACTCAAATCATTCTACACAAAAGATACCTGCACACGTATGTTTGCTGCAGCTCTATTCACAATAGCAAAAACATGGAACCAACCATGTTGCCCATCGAAGCTAAACTGGATTAAAAAAATGTGGTACATATACACAATGGAATATTATGCAGCCATAAAGAAAGACAAACATATGGACTTCGCAGCAACTTGGATGGATTTAGACTCTATCATACTCAGTAATCTATCACAGAAACAAGGAACAGAGTACCACATGTTCTCACTCATAAGCGGACCTTGAACAATTATCATAATACTATAAGAAAGGGATTGGCAGTGGTTGAAAACTGCCAGGAAGGGAGGTTGGGATTGGCAGTTGATGAATACTGCTGGGGGTGGGGGAAAGAGTACAGCCCATCCACAAGGGTACCTGCATAATCACCGTTTGTATACCTAACCCTGAATTATACCCTATATCTTAAAAAAAAAGGTAGTGATTTAAAAGAAACTTAGAAAGATAAATAAAAATTCTTGGCCTAAAAAAAAGGAATGAAGGTTTGGGTCACCTGTCAAGTAAAGAACCATGACCAGCTGAGGTGATTATTGAAGGCAAAGGAAATACAGAATGGGTGATAGAAGGAGGTAATTATAAATGCAAGCTATGACCACATTGTCTTTTATAAATATAGACTGTAATTGTCATAAGTATTTTCTTCTTATTTTGTCACAAATATATGTGTGTGTACATGTATGTAAATATCTTTGTTTTCTTTCTTCTTTTATCCCCTTATCATATAGCATAAAATGTATTGACTTTTATCATAGTATTTAAGTATTGTTAACTTTACATCATAGTATTTAAGTTTTGGGATATCAAGGAGAAGAGTAAACATCACTCAAGAACTTTACCTTGTCTTCTGAGAAAGGAGTTAGTATGTTTTGGGTTGTATGCGGGTTAGTTGTAACATGTTAGATGGAACTATGACCTTGTTATTATCTTCATTTATGATTAAGTATGTTTCAGGAGATGAGTATAGGTGCCAAGTTGATAAGAGGTGGAATTGTGATGGTTAATTTTATGTGGCAACTTGACTGGCCATAAGGTGCCCAGATATTGATCACAAATCATTCTGGGAGAAGGATGTTTTTGGATGAGATTAACATTGAATTGGTAGACTGAGAAAAGCAGATTACTTTCCCTAATGTGAATCGGCTTCATCCAATCAGATGAATAGAGCAAAAAGACTTACCGTCCCTTGGTTAAGTGATAATTCCTTCTATGTGACTGCCTTTGAACTGGGACACCAGCTTTTTCCTGCCTTTGGGTTCTAACTTAAACATCAGCTCTTCTCGGATCTCCTACTTGACAGTCTTTGGTCTGGAACTACACTCTTGGCTCCTGGTTCTCAGGCCTGTGTACTCAGACTAGAATTATGCCATTGGCACTCCAGGGTCTCCAGATTGCTACTCATTGCTGATCTTGGGGTACAGGATATATATATGTGGCTTCCATAATCTCATGAACCAATTCCTTATAATAAATTTCTTTATACATATATACATCCTGTTGTTTCTGTTTCTATGGACAACCCTGACCAATACAATGAAAGAGAGGAAAAAATTACTTTCTGAAATGTTTAGAATATTTCATCATATTTCCTGCAATTGTGAAGTAACTGATTGTAGATGGAAGATGACAGAAAGAGGAAAGGAGAAAAGGATGTTGTCATATTTATGGACCACTAGGTATATATTTGGTGCTGTTATTTTCTGAACCAGGGAATACTGAGGAAAGAGCACATTTGGAGAATGGGAAAATGGTGGATTCTGTTTTGGACATGTTAAGTTGAAGGGGCTTACCACTATGCATAGTATGAAGTAATGTTTAAGATAGCGATTTACAGTTGAAGAGACTATGTTCAAATGTAAGCTTTGCCATTTACCAGCTATAAGATCTTGGGAGGAGTTGTTTAATCTCTTTAACCCTAGCTTTCGTTCTCATTTTATGGGCTTGCTGTGAAAAGTGAATGGCATTATCTACATAGCCATATGAGCATACTGCTGGGCACATAATATAGTCCAAGGAATTAACAGATTTTTTTAAACTTCCTTATTCACTTTATTTAGAGATGAGATATGTTTTAAAGAGATGCATATTGTTGCTCAGTTGACCAGGAGTGGATTTGTGATGACTAAATTTATGTGTCAACTTGGCTAGGCCAAGGGCCCAGATAGCTGTAAAATATTATTTCTGAGTGTGTCCATGAGGGCATTTCACCAAAATGTTAGCATTTGAATAGAGAAGACTTACCCTCACCAATGTGAGAGGGAATCATCTCATCTGTAGAGGGTTCAAACAGAACAGAACAACGAGGAAGGACAAAATATCTTCTTGAACTAGGACATACATATTCTCCTTTCTTTGGTCATGCGAGCTTGTGGTTCTGGGGCTTTTGGTCTTTAAAACTTATGCCAGCATTGCTCCACTTCTTGTTCTTAGACCACTGATCATGAACTTTGGAGTACACCATCTGCTCCCCTGCTTCTCAGTTCTTTGAACTCAGACTGAATATATTACCAGCTTTCCTTGTTCCAAGTTTGCAGACAGCATACTGTTGGACTTCTTGGTCTCCACAATTGTATGGGACTATTACTATAATAAATCTCCTATTATGGGGACTGACAATTAATTTTGCAAACTCATCCTAGAAAAAGTACTACATACCTCATTGCTGAATATCACTATGGTCACCCTTGAAGTATTCCCCTTGGGAAGCTATGAACCAATGCCAGTGCCTAGTCCACCTGTTAAAGCAATTCTGAAACTCTTTCTGGAATGGCCATCAGAGCTCTTGTCATATTACTCTTGATGTCCTGAATTCCATCAAAGGGTTTTCCTTTCAGTGTTTTCTTTATCATTGGGTAAAGAAAAAAGTCATTGGGCCAGATCAGGTGAGTAAGGAGGATGTTCCAATACAGTTATTTGTTTACTGGCTTAAAACTCCCTCATAGACAGTGCTGTGTGAGCTGGTGCATTGTCATGATGCAAGAACTCCTTCAGGACCACTTTTGTACACACTTTTCTCATGCCAAGGTTTTTAGTTAAGATTTTTCCTGTTTCTGTTTCTCTATCAATGCTTATTTGGTCTGCTTTGCTTCTCACAGTCAGTTGATAATTTTGACACCCAACTGGACAAATGTTTGCAATATTTTCTTCAGTTCTGCCTGTTACTGGCTCTCCTGACTTCTCTTCATCAGTGACACTTTCTCGCCCCTCAGAAAAACTTTTAATCTCTTCATACACTGCTGATTTCTCCATGGCATTATCCCCATAAACTTGGACTAACATGTCCCTAATTTCACTTCCACTCTTGCCAAGTGTAACAAGAGATTTAATGTTTGTTTGTTGCTCTAGGAATTAACAGATTTTAAAAATGAAGTACTAATACTCTGTGATGTATCACCAAAACAAAGAACTGGATACCACATGTTCTCACTCATAAGCCATCCCTGAACAATTATCACAATACTATAAGAAAGAGATTGGCAGTAGTGGGAAACTGCCAGGGGAGAGAATGGAGAGGGGAGGGGGAGGACACACTTCATCAGTAAGGGTACCTGATCTCAAACCAGGTGAAGTGGGGACCAAAGTGAGGCCCAAACTTAATGTACAATAACCATTTGTATACCTAACCCTGAATTGTACCCTACATCTTTAAAAATAAAATGAAATAAAAATGAAGTACTCAGGAGATAGAGCTTTGAGCCTGAAGGCTGGGAGAGAGGTTTAGGATCCAATACTCTGCTTCTCATTAGAACTTCAGGTCTTGCTCTCCTTTCCCATCCCTGCTGCCCGTGACCTTAGTACCAAGGCTAATCAAGAGAGCACTTCTGGCTTTTTTCTTTTTTCCTAGCTCTCTTCCCAGGTGGCTAACGGTAGATGGGTGAGCTGAAAATGTGAAAGAGAGAAGGATTCAAGAGCAATAGCTGCCACTGATTTAGAAATGGACACTGTATAATTTCAGTATTTAACTCTTTTGCAGAAATGTTATTTTGCCACAGACCGTAGAATATCCAGCATTCTTATCTCCAGACCTGAATGTTGCTGTTGGGGCTCCAACTGTGCAAACAACCGATCAGCCAACTGTAGTGCGACTTGAAAAACTTCAGCAACAGCCCCGGGAAAGGTAAAAACAAAAACAAAAACAAACTAATTTTCATCTTATATGTTTATATAATATTTTAATTTCTCTCTTTGAGACATGAGCAGCTTTCATTATAGTGCTATTTCATGGGGTTCAGAGATTTTTTTCCTGATTTTTGCTTATCAAATTTTGGGTTTTATTTTGTTTGTTTGTTTGTTTGTTTAGACAAGATGTCACTCTGTCACCCAGGCAGAAGTGCAGTGGCCTGATCTTGGCTCCTGGGCTCAGGCAATCTTTCTGCTTCAGCCTCCTGAGCAGCTGGAACTACCGGCATGTACCACTATGCCCAGTTAATTTTCTTGTTTTTTTGCAGAGAAGAAGTCTCACTATGTTGCCCAGGCTGGTTTGAATTCCTGAGCTCAAACAATCCTCCCTTCTCAGCTCCCAAAGTGCTAGGATTACAGGAGTGAGCCACTACACCCAGCTAAATTTAGGGTTGTTGTTTTAAAGTCAGAGTTATGGCAAGAAAAAAGGTGAAAATTCATTTATAAGGGAGACAGCATGACACCTGCTCTGTCTCCTCATTTAACAGTATATTCCATAGGTCTCTTATGCTTTTTTCTGTGTTTCTCATTCTTTTTTCTCTATGCTTCAGTCTAGATATTTTCTTTTGACTTATATTCTAGTTCACTGGTTCTTTATCTTTGGTTCTGATCTGCCATTAAACCAATTTAATTCTTAATTTCAGTGATTTTCTTTCCGAATTATGGAATTTCCCTTCATTTTTATAGTTTCCACTTCTCTGGTAAAATCTACAGCCTTGTGTTTTAATTCTTTGAATCTATCTATCATTGTCTTAGTCTGCTCAGACTGCTATAAGAAATACTGTAGACTGGATGGCTTAAACAGTAAACAGCTATTTCTCACAGTTCTGAAGGTTGCAAAATCGAAGATCAAGGCACTGGGTGATTTGGTTCCTGCTGAGGACTGTCTCCCCAGTTTGCAAAAGGCCCTGTTTTTGCTATATCCTCACATGATAGAGGGAGATAATCTCTCTAATGTCTCTTACCATAAGGGCACTAATCACATTCAGAGGGCTCTACCTTCATGATCCAGTTGCCTCCCAAAGCTCCCATCGCCAAATATTATCACACAGGGGACTAGGGCTTCAATATATGAATTTTGGAGTGCACAAATATTTAGTCCATAGCACTCATTGCTGTTTTAAAATCTAAGTCTGATCACTCTATTTTCTGGATCTGCTGTAAATCCCTTTCTATTATTGATTTCTTTCTCTTGGTTTTCAATCAAATCTCATATGCCTAGTTGTTTTGATTGAGTGTTAGACTTTGTATTTGAAAATGTATAGAACTAATTAGGATTTTATTCAAAGAGAAATAGGAAGCCATTTGAAGTCTTTTATACTATCTTTTGAATATATTATTTGATACCAACATAATAATCTATAATGTTAATGTAAATTATATATAGCTTAATATAATGTCAACAACCAATACCTAACCTAACCCAGAACCTAAAACATTATGGACAATTTGTATCTACTTATGAGTTTCTCTCCTATCTCATCTTCCAGCCTATTTCCCAGAAGTTGACTACTTCTATACATTTTGTTTTTATTTTTTACCTGTGGAAAACTGCTTTTAAAAAATCATATATGGGGCAACCACCTTGAGTCCCCTTCTGTGGGAGCTTTTCTGTTCTCTCAATAAATCCTGCTTTCCAAAAAAAAAAAAAAAAAATCATATATGTAGGATGCTTAAGAATACATTGCTTGATTTTGCTTACATCATATACAGTTATGTTTCTAAGATTCATCCATGCTGTTTCACAGTCTTTTATTTTTTGAATAAACTGTAATTTAATTTTTGTTTGTTAAAATGATCATTAGGTATATTAGCTTTTTATTGCTGCATAACAGATTATCACAAACTTAGTTGTTTAAAACAATATTAATTTGTTTTCTCACAGTAGGTCAAAGTCTGGGCAGAGTGTGATTAGGTTTTCTGCTCAAGGTTTCACAAGGCTAAAATCATGGTGTTGGCCAGCAGCATTCCCGTTTGGAGGTGTCTTCTTTCCTCTTTCAAGTACACTTAGGTTGGAAGAAATCTGTTTTTTGTGATTATAGGACCTATAGCCCCATTTTCTTGCTGGCTCTCAGCTTCTAGAGGTTACCTCACATCTTAACTACATGGTCCTATCATAGCACAGCAGTTTGCTTCAATGCCAGCAGGCAAATCTATGCTCATACTTGCATTTTCCTTCTTCAGAAATACCCTAATTTTTTTAAAAGATGAACTTGATTAGGTCATACCTATCCAAGGTAGTGTTATTTTTGATGAATTCAAAGTCAACTGATTTGAAATGCTACTTTGCATTGATGTTGTATCCCACAATTTTGCTAAATTCATTCATCAGTTCTAAAGATTTTGTTTTTGCTTTTTGGTAGAGTCTTTAGGTTTTTCTGTATGTAAGATCATGTTGTCTGAAAACAAGGACAGCTTGACTTCCTTTTTTTCCAATTTGAATGCCTTTTATTATTTTCTCTTGCCTAATTACTCTGGCTAGGGTTTCTAGTACTATGTTGAATAAAAGTAGTGAGAATGGTCATCCTTGTTTTGGTTCAGTTCTTAGAGGAGAAGCTTTCAACTTTTTACCAGTCAGTAAGATGCTAGCTGAGTGTTTGTCATATATAGACTTTATAATGCTGAGGTACTTACTTTTTATTATGAAAGGAGGTTGCATTTTATCAAAAGTTTTTTTTCAGCTGTTGAGATAATCATATGTTTTTGTCCTTCATTTTATTGATGTGATGATATATGATGTTTGTTGATCTACATATGTTGAACCATCCTTGTATTCTTGAATAAATCTTGCTTGATCTTGGTGTATTGCTGATGGTAATCATAGGTCAAGGCCAAATTGGGCAGATTTGTCAGTTGTGGCCCTAAGAAGCCCAATTAATGGAAGGATATAGGGTTAGGGTTGAGCATTAAAAATTGTTGAAATTCTCATGTGTGTGAGTACAACAGAAATCACGCTATTGTTAATATGCATCTGATTTCTCCAATGTGGTTATATAAAATTGCTTGAAGCATTGCTATATTTGCATCTGTTTGGCTGTATCATAATCTGATAAATAAAAATGATAAAATCACCACCCCTTCTCATCCAATAGAGAGTTGAAAATGAGTATAGTTATGAGAAATATAAGCCAATATTTTATAGATCAGTTAATGTTTGGGTCTGAATGTGTGTATCATATTGAAAATGCTACAATTGATCATGTATCAAAAAGTGCCACTGATACAAATATTATTGAGAAGTAATCTAGTTTGAAGCTAAATATTGATTTTAAGGCTTGAATACTCAGATTATTTCTTGGCCTGAGCAAATGAATATTAGACCTAGAATGAGGCTGATTATAAAAGCATATAATGTTAAAGTTTTTACATAGTGAGTATAAGAAATATCTTTATAAATGATAATAGTTATGATAATTGGTAGAATTAAGATAAGTGAAATTATGATAAAGGAAGAGAAGAAATTTGGTTTCCTAAGACCAATGAATTACTTCTATCCTTCAAAAGTTGAGAAAACCTTATTTTATATATGGGAACATGATTAGCAGTTTTTACATGCTTTCTTGGTTAAGTAGTTTTAAGCTTCTGTTTCAGTTCACAATCTAATATTTTACTTAAACTTTATTTATAGTATGTAGGTCCTGGAATACTTTTGCAATGAGGTAATAGGAATAGCAGAGATGTATAAATATTAAAGTATTTTCTTGTGTGCATGATGGCTAATGTTATTAATGTAACATATAGATTTTTCTCATTGTGATGTAATTAATATGTAGAGGAAATACAAGACAGTGATTAATATATTAAGTCCTATTAGTATAATGGTAAAATCTGATTATGAAAATGATGCTATAACAACTCCAATTAGGTTGATGGTTGTGGTAGGGCTAGACTGGTTAAGCAAGCTAATTCTCATCATGTTGCTATAAAAGGAAGTAATATCTGTAGTCCTTGAGCTAATAACATAGTTCAGTTTTTAATTCATTAACAATTTGAGTTTGCAAGGCAGACAAGTATGGATAATGTAAAACCATGGACAATTATTAGAGCTGTGGTTCCTGTGAAATTTCGTGTTTGACTGAGAATGGCTATAATCACTACTAGTCCTATGTGATTTATGGATGAATATGTGATACATGATTTTAAGTCTGTTTGGTGTAAACAAATAGAGCTTGTTATAATTATTCCTCACAGGGATATATGTGAAATGTATAAGCTATATGTTCTGTTAGTGCACTTAGAATTATAGTACTCTGTATTATATTATAGCCTCCTAATTTTAGTAATACAGCTGCAAGAACTATGGATCCAGCAACTGGAGCTTCTGCATGTACTTTGATAGTCAGAGATGGAGACCGTAAAGGGGTATTTTTTTTACTATAAATACATGCTAATCATAAGAGGCTGTTAGGTCAGGAACTTGGTAGTGTTTGAATTCAGTAACAGGTTATTACAAAGTTTAATGAGCCTGTGGAGTTTTGGATATAAATTAATGCTATGAGTTGAAGTAAAGAACCAATTAGTGTATAGAACAGGCACTAGAACCCATTCTGATTGGTTTCCTCATCAGGTAATAATAATTAGAGTTGGAATTAGTGTTGCTTCAAAGAATGTAAAATAGAATTCTGTCATGATTAAGAATATATGTAGAAAGATTAATATTAAAATACATGTTTTTTATGTATATGATTCTTTGGAGAAATGATGTTGACTTACTATATCTATTAGAAGAAATAATCAGTTTGTTAATGGTAAAAGGGGGCTGATAGTGACTAAGAGGAAAAAACTAATGAAAAGTTTAGACTGTTTTTGCTAAATTGGCTTCAGAGGAGTAGGCTGATGAAACTAATCAGTAGACTGTTCATAGTTGTGTTAATTCAAATTATAGAGTATTTAGAATATTATGTCATTGGCATAAGTATACTTGTGGGTACAGTAATTTTTAGCATTGAAGAAGATTTAAGTTTTTTATATAATCTAGACTGTATGTAGTGGATACCATTACTAGTAAAGGTAGGCTTATGGCAACCTCACAGGTTGCAAATACTAGTATAATATGAGTTGTTATGGTGAATAAGATAAAGCATATGCTTAAAATTGCAAGGCTTCCCAGGCTAAACAATGATTAGTGATAGTATTATGCTTTCTAAACATAGTAATGAAGATATTAGGCATGATCACATTATACTGATAGGCCTATTAAGGATTTGATATAAACTAGAATAATATTGAAATAAATTGAAGGCATATTGATACTTTTAGCATTTCATAATTTAATTAGTCAGAATTACTTGCTTTAATTTAAATGAACTATCATATAAAACTCACTCATTCTAGTCCTCTTTGGATTCATTAATAGGCTTAGGACTAAGGCTAGAATGGAGATTAAAATTGGTGCTATAGTATTAGTTTTAGTTTACTTCTTTGAGTTGCTTATGGTAGTAGGAGGGCAATTTCTAGTCAAAGATAAATTCTTTTTTCCCCTTGTTTTATTGTGGAAGGCATTGTATATATACTGAATAATTTATAAAATATATCTATGTAGTGTTATTGACTGAATGTTTGTGTCCCCCCTTTCCCACCAAATTTATATGTTAAAACACTAATCCCCAATGTGATGTTATCTGGAGGTGAGGCCTTTGGAAGATAATTAGAGTTAGATTAGGTCATGAGGGTGGGACTTTCATGATGAGATGAATGCCTAAATAAAAAGAGGAAGAGACAAAATCCATCTCTCTCCTCCATGTGAGAATATGAGAAGAAGGCCATCTGCAAACCAGGAGCACTACTCTCACCAGACACTGGATCTGCCAGCATCTTGAACTTGGACTTCCCGGTCTCCAGAACTGTGAGAAATAAATGTCTGCTATTTAAGTCTATAGTATTCTGTTACAGCAGCCCAAACTGACTAAGATGCATAGTTTAAATAGAGTGATATATATTGAATAATTTTCTGATCTTTGTTGTAATCATTCCCTTTCATTTGACTGTGTCCCTGTCATTGGTTTGTCTCTTTTGGAAATTTTTATAAATGGCTCATACTCTATTCATTCTTCTGTGTATTGTACCATATATATTCTTCTTTTTTTAATTTTAAAGATGTGGGATACAATTCAGGGTTAGGTACATAAGTGGTCATCATACAGGTAAAGTTTGGGCCTTCCTTTGTTCCCCACTTCTCCTGGTTCGAGATCAGGTAACCTTATTTTTGTTATGTGCCCTCACCCCTCCTCTGGCAGTGTCGCACTACGCCAATCCCTTTCATATGATATATTTTCAGGGTCTGCTTATGAGTGAGTGTGTGTGGTGCTCAGATCTTTGTTTCTATGATAGATCACTGAGTGTTATAGACTCTAAAACCATCCAAGTTGTTGTAAAGTCCATAATTTTGTCCTTTTTGACTGTGTAATATTCCCCCTATATAGTCTTCTGTCACTAGCTTTTATCATCCATCACTTGCTTTTATCATCCATAACTAATTTCTTTTTTAGGCTAGAAAAGATGAAAAAAGAATATAGAAATCTGAATACATGGATGGAAAAATCTGACTATTTAGAAAATATTCTTGCCCCAAAATTGAGGCATAAAGATTCTAAGGTAATTGACATATATAATTCTGAATATTATTTATGTATTTGTTGAGTTGGGTTCTCACTTACTATTTGTTTGTTTGTGTATTTATTTATTGAGTTGGTGTCTCACTGTGTTGCCCAGGCTGGAGTGCAGTGGCATGACCATAGCTTACCATAACCTCAACTTCTTGGGCTTAGGTGATTCTTCCACCTCTGCCTCTCAAGTAGCTGTGACTACAGGTATGTGCTACTATACCTGGCTAATTTAATTTTTTTTTAGAGATGAGGTCTTGCTATGTTGCCCAGGCTGGTTTTGAACTCCTGGGCTCAAGTGATTCTCCTGCCTCAGCCTCCCAAAGTGCTTGGATTAGAGGCATGAGCCACCATGCTTAGGCTTATTCTTTTTATTAAGAAAGATATTATGATAATCAAAAGTGATGATCAGATATTGGTTTTCTATTCATAATATATAATATATGATTCATAGTTCATGTACATTTTATTTTAATAATGTTCCATTCAATAAGTATTGATTGATATTTTATAAAATTTAATTACTAATGGCTTTATTAGGGTATAATTCAACTACCATACAATTGACTCACTTAAAATGTACAACTCTGTGATCTTTAGTATAATCATCAAGTTGTTCATCAATCACAACAGTCAATTTTAGAATATTTTATTACCCTCAAAAGCAACCCCACACCCTTTGTCCAACACCCTTCTAGTTTTTCCGCTCCCCTAAGCTAAAGATAGCAATTAGTAGTCTACTTTCTGTCTCCATAGATTTGCCTATTCTAGACATTTCATATACGAGGGGGACCCCCCCAAATCAGGAATTTATTTATAAAACATTGTGTATTCTTTAAAAACTTTTTTTATTTTGAAGATGTGGTTACAATTCAGGGGTTAGATATACAAATGTTCATTATGCATGGGCCCTTGTTAATGAGGTGTGCCCCACCCCTCCCCTGGCTGTTTCCCACTACTGCTAATCCCACCTACCCTCCAGGTGTATTTATTCTTATATGTTTAAACTTCAGTCACCTTGAAATTACTTTCCGTTTGATGCAATATACCTATTGAGATGTTTTCTCCCTGCTCAAATTATTTTTGTTTCACCTCTTCCACATGAGCAAAACATTTCCCTTTGAGGACTTTTTTCATGGGGGGGGGCGGAGATCAGGTAAATAGGGAGGGTAGGGCATGGGGTCATGATGCTTTTGGTCAAAAACTGCTGAACACTCAGTGTGGTGTGGGTAGGTGCACTCATAAATCACCCATCATGAAGTGGGCAAACATGCTGAAAGAATCTCAGATATATATATATTTATACCTGAAGCCAAACACAGCCTCTTACAACGCTAGCAGGTACACTGATGCTGATGGGTTCCTAGAACACTTACCTATCAGAGGAAGCCAGTACTTCCCGGGGCCTGCCCTCCAAAAGATAATTCCAGTTTTTTGTGGGTTCCTCCCCTTGTAAATGAACTATATGTTATCCTTTGTGATTTGCTTCTTTCACTTGCCATAATGTTTTCCAGGTTCATTTCTGTTGTAGCATGTATCGGTACTTCATTTTTTTATTCCCAAATAATATGTAATTATTTGGATATACCATATTTTATTTATGCATTTATCAGCTGATAGATATTTGGATTGTTTCTGCTTTTAAACTATTATGAATAGTGCTGCTATGAACATTCATGTGCAAGTTTGTATGTGAACATATGTTTTGAATTCTCTTGGGTATATACCTAGGATTGAAGCTGGATTATATGGTAATTCCCTGCTTAAATTCATGAGGAACTTCTAAACTGTTTTCCACAGCAGCTGCATCATCTTACATGCCAACCAGCAATGTATAAGAGTACCAAATCTTCACCAACATTTGTTATTTTTCATTTTTAAAAATTATTATAGCCATCCTAGTGGTTCTGAAGTGGTATCTCATTGTGGTTTTGATTGCGTTTCTCTAATAACTAATAATGTCAGCATCTTTTCATGTGTTTACTAGCCATTTTTATGTCTTCTTTTGACAAAATTTATTCAGATCCTTTACTGAATTTAAAATTGAGTTGTCTATTTATTGCTGAGTTCTAAGAGTTTTTTTTTTTAATCTGTACACTAGACCCTTACCAGATATATGAGTAAGGTTTAATACTTAGAAATACAATCTTATCTATACATTTTTACCTGGAAAGAAAGGATTCATAGCTTTCTCAGTGGACGGATAACACATTAATTAAGATCACAGCCCTAAAATGGTAGTTATAACATACTGATACTTTCATGTTTTTTAATGCTTCTGTGATAATTGGGCAGAGTTGTGCTGCTATAGGATAAATTGATTAGCATTTACTAATACAGAATTTTAGAGAAAATTTGGGGGACTCATCATTAAAGGGACTGTGGATTTAGGGTTCTTATTGAAAGATCAGTATTTTTTTGCTTTTATTCTTTTTAATTAGTTGCATTTTATTTTAGATTCAAGGGTACACCTGAAAAAATATATATATTTTTTGTAGGTTGGAGTCTCACTCGGTTGCCCAGGCTGGAGTGCAGTGGCACACTCACTGCCAACCTAGCATTGATCCGCTGGGCTCCGGGCATCCTTCTGCCTCAGCCTTCCAAGTAGCCGGGACTACAGGCACATGCTACCATGCCCGGCTAATTTAAAAAAAATTTTTTTTTAATTTTTAAAATTTATTGTAGAGATGAGATATTGCCAAGTTGCCAGGCTGGTCTCAAACCCACGGGCTCAGGCAATCCATTCGCCTCGGCCTTACAAAGTGCTGAGATTACAGGCTGAGCCACCGCGCCTGGCCTGAAAATGTTTTGCATAGGTATATTGTGTGATGGCAAGGTTTGGGCTTCTGATGAGCCTGCCCTTCCCTCCCAGTAGTGAGCATACTACCTGACAGATGGTTTTGCTCCACTTATTCCCCCTCCCTCTCTCCTCTGTTTAGTAGGTATCCCAGTGGGTGCCTGTGTGTGCCCAGTGTTTAGTTCCCACTAATGAGTGAGAATATGAAGTGTTCAGTTTTTTGTTTATGTGGTAATTTGCTTCGAATGATGGCCTCCGGCTGCTTCCATGTTACTGCAGATAACATGATCTCATTCTTTTTTATGGCTGCATAGTATTCCATGGTGTGTATGTACCATATTTTCTTTCTCCAGTCTACTGTTAATGGGCACCTGGGTTGGCTATTTTGAATAGTACTGTGATAAACATGAGCACAGGTGTCTTTTATATGATGATTTGTTTTCCTTTGGGTATATACCCAGTGGTGGGATTGTTGGGTTGGGTGGTAATTCTATTTTTTGTTCTTTGAGAACTCTCCAAACTGCTTTACACAGGGGTTGAACTAGTTTACGTTTTTACTAACAGCATGCAATCATTCCCTTTACTACGCAACCTTGCCAACATCTGTTGTTTTTCAGTTTTTTAATAATAGTCACTCTGACTAGTGTGAGATGATATCTCATTGTAGTTTTGATTTTCATTTCTCTGATGATTAGGGATGTTGAGCATTTTCTCATGTTTGTTGGCTGCTTGTATGTCGTCCTTTAAGAAGTTCCTGTTCGTGTCCATTGCCCATTTTTTTTTTTTGAGTTGGAATCTCACTCTGTCACCCAGACTGGAGTGCAGTGGCCGC